AAGACATATTTTAAAAAACAAAAACCCTGTTATTAAATATTACTTTTCACAGAAAGTATTACAGTTGGTCTTAAGCTTTTGCTTCCTTGAAAACAATTGTATCCTTACATTAACCAAGTTAAACTGTGAACCACAAACAACTCCCGTTATCATAAAATGTCAGCTAAGCAAAAACTGCATCTGTTTTTATAAACATTTACATATAAGTTTGTGATATAGTAATCATGACCTGAATCTTAAACCTCATTTTCAAGTAGTAAAGGAAACCTAATTAATTTCCCAGGTGATACATTAAAAAGTACCCATGATAGATTGTTTTCAAAATTCACATAAATGAAAAACCTTTTGTGATCTGTGGCATACATGCTAGGAAGTGAGGTTATAGCGCTCTCATCTTCGGTCCTGCGTATGTGGGTGGTAAACCAGCGTATCAGCAGCAGTGCTGCCAGGGTTTGGCCAGTCTGCCCACCGGCTTTCCAGGGCGATAATGGGCTTGCATAGACTCGGATTCCCTGTTTGGCCGAGGCCTCAGAGGACCAGGTGGCGAGCATGCACCTGGCGCGGGCGTGGGCCTAGAGCAGTCCAGAGCATGCAAAGCTGACTGTCTCACCTGGTGACTGAATGACTGACTTTGTAGAGATGAACTTGGCCTTATTTGTTTAGTGTTCTCACCAGCTGTGCTAACTCATCTTTTAAGATGATAGAATTACACAAGCTAGCATAGCTTTCCAGAATTTTATTTTCCTTTTCAAAAAAATTACCACCATTAAATGTCCCAAGTAATTGCTATCATATTATGGACTCAGAGAAGCTTTAAAATAAGATTGTTATGGCAAAATTATTTCAGACACATTTAAGCATACCAGGGCTCTGAAACAGTAATTTTTACACACTAGAAGTGAAATTTAGAGCAAACCGAAACAGTGAATGTTTGACTGCAAAGCAAAAACAATAAAATAAATTCACAGCAATTGCCATTTTTTATTAGACATGGGTATTTCCAAGGGCTAAAGGTAGGTAATTAGTAATGTCATCATGTGTCAAAAAGAGCACTAGAAGGGGAGTCTGGAACCCTGAGACCTAGTCCTGGCTGTCATTATATAACATGATATGTCACAATTATCAGTTTCTTTATTTGTAGAATGAGGAACTGGGCTTGACACATCTAAGAGTCCTTTCAATTTTGAAATACTAAGAATTCTTATTCTTGTCAAAATTATACAAATCATATATTAAATATCTTTTGAAATCTAGTTATTTTTAACCCATGATAAAGAGCTGCTAAAATATTTTAAGATAAAACACAAAATAAAACCAGCCTGTATTTTTTAATCAAATGTTTCTAAGAATAAGAACAGAAAAATAACTTCATGAAAACAGTCTCAAAGAGCTGTTTTTCTCTACCTAGAAGGGAGCAGTATCTCCTGGACAATACAGAATATGTTTTCTTAAACTAATTATTTCAAATTATCTAGAAATATAATTTCCTCCCTTCCTTCTCCTTTACTGTGAAAAATCCTTGCATAAGTGTAAAAGTGAAACTGGGATGTCATCTCATAAATGTCTGTCTTCACTTTATGATGCTGCTCTCTGAAGGCTAGAGGAATGAATAGATTTTGGAGCAGGGAAGAAGCACTTACCAAACTGTTTTTAACCTTGTAAGTCCTCGTGGTGTCTCTTTTAGCGTAGACTTTAGAGAAAAATTTAAATGGAAAGCAGAAATGATATGAAAGATTCCCAAACTAGAGCTGCAAAGCCTCTAATGTCTCAACAATGTTAAGCCCTGTATTGGAATATTAGGCTAAAAGGAACACAGTAAAACAGAATCCTTAAGGAAACAGCCACAGTTCATTTGAATTTTCTTTTTTTATGTCCACTTTAATTAAAAAGACAGAAAACAAAGGTGTAAGTTATTTCTAATTAAATATCGAGGTGAGCACAATCCGAATGTGCTGCCAATCAAAATATTTTAAAAGACTTTACCATTTGTGATGCTCTTGTCTACTATTGATAGTATGAATTTATGAATTTTTTATTGAATGTACTTCAAACTCTACTTATTTTATAAGAAAAATCTATCAGCTATAAGGTACAAATGTGCCTTATAGGTCATAATCCCACATGGCCACAAAATTGATGGTCCATATGTGGGGTAGGCAAAAGCAGGTTTGCAGTTGTTCATATAGAAAAAGACAAGCAGGTTATAAGATTATTACAATACCTTTATTAACTCAAAAGAATGCCATAATGCAACTGTAAACCTAATCTTGCCCACCCCCATCTTCATGCTGCAAACCAAATGGTTACATTGAAAGGGGAGAGTTACAATTCAGGATCAAATAGCTGTATTATCCTAAAATCTTGCCACTTTAGAGATTTATTGGACAAGTTTTTTTAAATGCTTTTATTGATTTCAGAGAAAGGAAGGGAGAGGGAGAGAGAAACATCGATGAGAGAGAAACATCCATCAGTTGCCTCCTGCACCCCCGCACTGGGGATCAAACCTGAAACCTGGGCATGTGCCCTGACCAGGAATCAAACCGGTGACGTCCTGGTGCATGGGAGAGCACTCAACCACCTCAGCCACAGTGGCTGGGCTATTGGACATTTTAATAGCTTTTTAAATTGAGGGATTTATCAAGTACTTAAATTTTTAAGGACAAGCATCCCCCACTTTTCAAAAGTCTGAGTGAGGCCACTTCACTTTTAGGAAGACCTCCATCAGTACCTGTCCCTGCTAACCAAAAGAAATCCGAAAAGGATTTTTGCTTTTAAGTTAATGGTAATTGCTGCTTCACTTTAGACCATTCAGCCTAGGAAAAGTTTCATAGGAACATACTCTCCTTTCCACATAGCAGGGGAAACCCGTGTTTTTCTAACTTTCTTGAAGTAAAGCTTATCAAAGATAAGTGAAGGGTGTTCTCTCTGAAACCTTCATTAAGCTGAGTATTAAAGTGATTACCAACCAAGATAAATGTTTAAAATAGATTACTTGTAGGTTTCTAGGATCAATAATGGACTGTGGTACTCAAGAACAGTGTTTAAAACAAGTATACTCAAAATGGTACTTTTAATTTCATTTTTCCTATATCCCTGGTACTTACTGGATTTATATAGCACCTATCTTCCAAGAAACTCAGAATGCCATATAAGATTACAGACTTAAGAGCATGATGACTGTGCAATAGCAGCTGTTTTCAAACAGTAATATTTTTTACCTTAAGAATGTTCTGTTGCTGTTATTGGGATAGAAAGGAGTGATGTGGTAGGAAAGAGCCGTGGCAGATGGGCAAGTTCATACAAAGAAAAAAGCACTGGAAGGAAAAAGCAAAATCTCATAACTTCAAAAGCTAAAAGCCACCCACCGGACAGGTGAAAACTCGGATTGATCAGATTCTGCTTCCGTGAGCTGAAGAGAGAAAAGCTAGACTAAGGAATCGACTGCTTCCCTAGATCAAAGACAACTGTTAGGTCATCACATGATGAAGAAGAAATGATTCTCTATAAATATAACAATGTGTTGTTTTCTATAAATCAGCAGACTTACCAATAAAAGTCCACCAGCAGGGTATTACTAAGATGGGTTCTCTCATTAGATGTTCCCACTATTTTTGGCAGGCTAATATCTTCATTCCTTGGAAATAATGGCAGCCAGACAGTTTATGAATTCCTGATGAAAACTTAAAATGTTTAATGGAATATTAAGTACCATATATTTAACCTTTTCTGGGTAATTATAAGATCTGAAGTATAACCATAAATGATGACTATTATAATATTTATAAAATAAACCTTATGAAAGTTAACATAGCAAAACGTCATATTCTATTTAGTCTAATCTACACAAGGAACAGGTTCCTGTTTTTTAACCCATTTTGAAAACTTCTGAATTTAACTCAAAAAGGAATAGGCGAAGATTTCTAGAACACAAAGTATGATCCAATCCTATTTCATTTATAAAAATATGGAAATGGAAATGTTATTTCAAATATATAATACTGCAGAACATAAGAAGACCCTAGGACTTACTGATGCAAGTTCATTACACTTTAAGTTAAGCAATAATAGCTAAATTAAACTTAAGTCACTTTCTAGAACAGCTTGGAGATTAATGGAATTTACTTTTAAGCTTAATTGGCAAATAATAAACTGAAAAAAGAAAATCTTGTCTATTATTGAGAATATCAATTGATTAACCGATTGTTTTATATACACCTAAATGTGATTTATTCTTCACAAAGGTGTATGTACCAACTTAGAGCTTATCTAAAATCAAAATATCCCCAAGTTCTTAAATACTAAACTTAAATAAGAATCTATGATTATTAGTGAGATGCTTGTTTATATGCACATAGACATTTATCTTTAGTTATTTCCTCAAATTTATATCCTACCATAACAGATCTTTAAAAATATTTAGTAGGGTCTCTGATAAACTATCCAAATATATATTTTTAAAATATTCTCAAGAAAACCTAAGTTCCTTTTATATTATGATCTTAGGAAAATTTTAAATATTTACATTTTAGAATCTTTGATTTTAGAGTATTTTATCTTTAAGACACTTCATTTTCATACATTTATTTGCATTGTATTTGTTTCACACTCTAAACACTCGTAGAACAATTTCATAGGGAGAGTTTTATTAAGTAATTTTGTTCTATCCTAAAAACTTAATTAGTCTTAGAAAAAGCCCCAAACTGTGAACTGTTTATTATACAGAAACCTTCCCTCTGCCCAACTTTATAATGCTCTCACAAAACTGTTTCTTAAGTAGCATTAATTTTGGGACCATAAGTCTATTCATATGAATATTCAAATCCTCTATTTAAATCCCGAAAGGATCCACCATCTCAAAATTATCTCCAAAGTCTACTTATGTAAGACATTGCTCCAGTTTCATTCTCAGCTATAATACCTTAATTATCACTGCAACCAAGACCACTCAGTATCATTGTCCCTAACCCTTTTTTCAAATAGCAAACTTGAAGACAAATGTAATTCTTTTAAGAATCTTTATTGAATCTTTTTAAAACAATTTAGCCTGTTGGATCTCGATGCAGTTTATAAAACAACTTGCATATAGTTTCATATAAACTGCAATCAAAAAAAAGTAATTTACTTTGTCCAAGAAGTTATCTTAAGTTGCAAGTTATTATTATTTTTTTTGTAATACGCAGAACAGTAAAATACAAGCATGCTCTCGGATGCAGGTGCTCCTGTGTACTATGGAGTTACTTTGAAGAGCTCGCTAAGGTCTGCAGGCAGTTTATGGAATGCAATCATTTTCTTCATAATTTAGGTACATGAGAATAAAACTGATACTTAGGAGTATTTTTTCTGAAAAAAGTTGAGGCAGCTTTTGTTGAACGCTATCCGTGTTGGTACCCTCGTTACACCTTGAGCTGGACTAAGAGGAACAGACAGCCAGAAGTCCATGTTCATGCTGAAACTTGAAAAGTCCCTCCGTAAGGGTCGAGTTCCAACAACGGGAACAGGTCAAAGACTATGCAACTGTTCTTCATCTTACAGGAGGGGACCACACCGAGACACTTCACATGACAAGGGGGCAAATCCCCTTCACTGCTCTCAGTCAAGGCCTGTGGTGTCTACAGTGGAGGGTGACGGTGGAGCAAGCCTAGGGCAGGATAAAGCTTAATTAAGTCTACATCTCATGCACAGCTGTCCTTGTTCTGTCCTCGAATGTTCCTCAGACATCCGAATTAGAACTGAGGTTTGTCAACCTGGGGTCCGCGTTGATTTCGTATCTGTAATGATAACCTTCCATGTGATCCCTGCAGGCATCTCTGATGTTATGCATCCACTTTTTTATCCCCTTACGGTTCAAATACAAAACCAGTAGGAAAATGGCACCTATCAGGGCTAAAACGATACCCAGGAAGACATAAGAAGTCTGCAGGGATGGAGGGAGGACCGGGTCGCAGTCCAGGTCGGAGCTGTTGAGCTCCAGGAGGACCCGATTCCTCATTTTTTCCGGGAACGCACAGGTGAGCCTGGCTTTGCCCTGCACTACCTCTGTCTCCTTGAGCCAGGTCACCATGTCCGCCATGTGGCAGTCGCAGACCCAGGGATTGTTGTCCAGGAAGACCCTGACTTGGCGCAGGCCCTGCAGCTCCGCCAAGGTGCCGTTGTGGAGGACCTTGAGGGCGTTGTCCTCCAGGTGCAGGCTCTCCAGGTGTGTCAGGTTGCGGAAGGACACGTAAGTCAGGCTCACCAGCGAGTTGTTGCGCAGGTCCAGGTGCCGGAGGCCTGGCAGCTGGGGCAGTACATCTCCGGGCAGGTAGAGGAGGTGGTTGCTGGCCAGCTCCAGGTGGCGCAGGCCGCGCAGCGCCCGGCCCGCTCGCAGGGCAGGCGCCACCACGCCCTCGAAGCTGCGGTTCTGCCGCTCATCATCCTCGTCAGGGGGCAGGACGTGGTTCAGGACCAGCTCCACCAGGGGGCCGGGGCCCGACGCGCTGGCGTCGCCGCCCGGGAAGGCGGAGGGGCTGAGCGAGGCCAGCGGGTTGTGGCTGAGGTCGAGCTGGCGCAGGCCGGGCAGGTGCGCGAAGGCCCCGGCGCGCACCTCCTCCAGGCGGTTGCCGCTGAGGTTGAGCGCGGC